AGAATCATAGAATCATAGAATCATAGAGTTGGAAGAGACCACAAGGGCCATCGAGTCCAACCCCCTGCCAAGCAGGAAACACCATCAGAGCACTCCTGTTTGCTGACTGGGAACGGTTATGGACCACAGGTATGAAATTTACGGCCTGTAACGCCTTAAGAGAAAATATAATGAAAATGATTTACAGGTGGTACTTAACCCCAGTCAAGCTAGCAAAAATTTATCATTTGCCTGATAATAAATGTTGGAAATCTAAAGAAAATGAAGGTACTTTTTTTCACCTTTGGTGGACGTGCCCAAAGACCAAGGCCTTCTGGGAAATGATATATAATGAACTAAAAAAGGTATTGAAATATACTTTCTTGAAGAAACCAGAGGCCTTCCTCTTGGGCATGGTCGGTCAATTGGTGCGAAGGGAAGACAGGAATTTTTTTATGTATGCAACAGCAGCAGCAAGAATACTCATTGGGAAATACTGGAAGACACAAGAATTGCCTACCTGAGAAGAATGGCAGAGAAAAGTCATAGACTATATGGAACTGGCTGAGATGACTGGCAGAATTCGAGATCAAGAAGAAGGGTCGATGGAAGAAGATTGGAAAAAATTTAAAATATATCTTCAGAAATACTGTAATATAAAAGAATGTTAGAAAAGGTTGGAGAAGAATATTAGACCGTATTGGCAGACAGAGTATAATGGAATAAGTAAATAAGAAGTGTAAAATAAAAGATAGAGGAGAATTAAATATTTTCGAATGTTAAAATAAGTAAATGAAAAGAAGGTTAGAAGGATTTGCTGGAGATACGATTTGAATTAGAATACAAAGCAGAGAAGTGAGAGGAAGTCACGGAAATAAGTAAATGAGAAAACGGTTTTAATGGTTTAAGTTGAATTCTTCTTTTGTCATTTTTTTATTGTGATTTTTTGTCTTGTGTATTTTTCTTTGTATTGTGTGTTTTTCTTGTAGGATGTATGTGATTTGTAGGATGTATGGGATTTGTTTTTCTTTTTTTACTTTTTTCTTTTTCTGTAACCTTAAAATTTGAATAAATATTCTATTAAAAAAAATAAAAAAAATAAATCAGGTTCCTCCAAATGAACCTCACCCCTACTCCTGGCACTGAGAAGGTTACAAGCTGCTATTCAGAAGTATAAAATATTGATATGAGCTGGGGCCCCAGTCTGGATGAAACCCTGGGTCCCCTTCCAGAACCTGCAGTTCTGTATCTGCAAGGGTAGAATGCATAAGAAGAAGCTTGCCAACCACTTCCTTTGTCAAAGAAATGGCTTTGGCCGTCAAGTTAAGTGCCACGATTTAGCATAACCAGAGAAGTTGCTCTGTGCCATGGAAGCCTATGGGAGGGCCTCCCCCCACCCACCACTGGGTGCTATGTAGGAGAACAATAGCCAGAGGTGAGAGTTGTGTGTGAGTGAGCAGTAAGCAGGCTAGCAGCTAGAGACACAGATAAACGTCTTGCTCTGTGCTGAACCTAAACTGGGACTTCCCCAGAATCCTAATGGAAAAGCAAGTTCTGTTGGGGTGTCAATGCTGTGAGCCTCCATCCTATGTTCAGATTGTGTATATGTGCAGATAAAACCACATATCTCAAAGAAACCACAGTCTCTGCTTACCTTCATTCTGATGGAAATTGAACCCGGAGTCTCTCACCGCTCAGTGGCTTGTAACAACAATATTGTTAAGATTGTGAAGACATCAAAACACGCATGCACGGTGCAATGTGAATGGTTTAATTTACTTCACACCCCCCAAAAAACCCCCTATCATCTTTAAGCTTAAAGGCCCAAAGAAAAATGAAACAAACAACCAAACAACCAAACAACCACATGCAGGAGAATGAACTTGAAGATGAACCAAAAGCCATTCAGCGCATGTAGATTCCCTCTTCTTTCTTTTTGATTAGCATGGCTTCATTTGTGCTGACAAAGCTCTGAAGTTGGAAGGCGCACAGCTTTTTTGGAACGGCAAAAATAAAAGCAGCACTATACTTAACGCAGTAGTGATAAATATAATGTGCCATTTGAACGAGGCGCTCCCAGCGTCAATCACCAAGCCGAGAGAAGAGCTGATGCCGGGGACTTTTGGGTTTATGTTCTTTGCTCATGCTGGCTTTCTAGAATGTGCCTACAGGGAGTGAGAGATGAGATGTTAAGTCGCAGAGCTGAATCGGGTGTGCAGCTGGCCTGAATTGCTAGAACCTAGGCCCATGGCCACTGGTCCCATCACCACCTGGCAAATAGAAGGGGATGAAATGGAGGCAGTGAGAGATTTTACTTTCTTGGGCTCCATGAACACTGCAGATGGTGACAGCAGTCACAAAATTAAAAGATGCCTGCTTCTTGGGAGAAAAGTGATGACAAACCTAGACAGCATCTTAAAAAGCAGAGACATCACCTTACATCACCTTGCCGACAAAGGTCTGTATCGTTAAAGCTATGGTTTTCCCAGTAGTGATGTATGGAAGTGAGGGCTGGACCATAATGAAGGCTGATTGTCAAAGAATTGATGCTTTTGAATTATGGTGCTGGAGGAGACCCTTGAGAGTCCCATGGACTGCAAGAAGATCAAACCTATCCATTCTGAAGGAAATCAGCCCTGAGGACTCACTGGAAGGACAGATCCTGAAGCTGAGGCTCCAATACTTTGGCCACCTCATGAGAAGAGAAGCTCCCTGGAAAAGACCCTGATGTTGGGAAAGATGGAGGGCACAAGGAGAAGGGGACGACAGAGGACGAGATGGTTGGACAGTGTTCTCAAAGCTACTAACATGAGTTTGACCAAACTGTGGGAGGCAGTGGAAGACAGGAGTGCCTGGCGTGCTCTGCTCCATGGGGTCATGAAGAGTCAAACATGACTAAACGACTAAACAACAACAACAACAACAACAGGCCCTAGAAGCTAAATTCCCACATGGCCCTCAAGGCATGCCTATGCTACACATTTAAACCACTTTCAGGTCTGGTTTGCTGTCAGGATTCCATTACCGAGAAGCCCTGGGAATGTTCGTTCTGCTAAAGGGCCTTGAGATATCTCAAACAAACGCTAGAATTCATGGACATGCAATGAAGCTGAACGGTGGCAGATTCAGAATGGATAGAAGAAAGCACTTTGTGCAATGCATAGTTAAACTATGGAACTACAGCGGCATGGGTGGCCACCAGCTTGGGTGGCTTTAAGAGAAGGTTGAACAAATTCACGGAGGGTAACGCTATCAGCGGCTACCAGCCTGGTGGCTATGCTCTGCCTCCACAGTTGGAGGCAGCAATGCTTCTGAACTCCCTGTGGGTTTCCCACAGGCATCTGTGTGGCCACCATGAGAGCAGAATGCTGGACTAGATGGGTCCTTGGCCTCCTTGGCCCTTCCTATGTTCCTAATTCTCCTCCTGAATGATGGTTACAAGGAACCTTCCAACAGAAGCCATGACAAAACAAACTAGATTCTATAGTTTTAAACCACTTGCAGTGGGGGAGTTTACAAGTGAGGCGTGTAGCAAAATGTGGCAGCATGAAATGCTCCACACAGTGTTCTGGCCGGCCAGCCAGCCGGCCGGCCAGCCATGCCCTCTAACAGGCTATCCCATTCCATCCCCTTCTCCTCAAGGTTTCCATTGTTGTTCCCAACAATCACTTCTCATTCCAAGCCAGCTGAACACACCCAGTCCTCACTGGAGTTTTTGGCTGTGCGTGCATACATGTTTTGTCCCTTAGATCTTATTTTGTGAAATATGTTTTCTTGTCCTGCAAAAGCTGGGGTTCCCTTCAAGCCTGCTAATAACTCCCTCTTGTGAATGGGTGACGTCATTCATCCTACCTATAAAGAACAGCACTTGCAGCCTGATGATTGGACATAGAGGGAACGATTTAAAGTTATGAGCTTTATCCTCTGACATAGGATGATGACAGGCATTGTCGTCTCTGCTGCCACATACAGAGTCTGCACTTAACTGTGGTAAGATGAAAAGCAGCTATGAATTTTTTTTGTATGTGTGAATAGTTTTGTTTTATTTCCAGCGATAAGCTGTGAAAAGGATAGACACCCTCCCCATCATGTTTTGCCATCTATTTCCCAGCAGGCACTGCAAGGGGCCTGACTCCTCCTGTGATTCTTTTTAAGATCAGCCTGATATTAGGCTGTCAGGATGGAAATTGCTCAGGCTTGATTGTGATTTTATTTTAATTAAAGGACCCTTGAATGCAGCTGCATGGCGTGACTAAAACGGCAGAATGACATCGCCCTAGCAAGTACTCATGATGTGTGGAGATCATTGTTTAACAGCAATCTTGTCTCCAGCTGGAGTTGCTGGGAAACAATGACTCCTGCTCTCCATAACCAGCATGACGTGTGTGGCTTCCAGAATACTTAGTATCTGCTTCCTGAGGTGGGCACCCGACTCTGCCTAATGGTAGGGCCGGCCCTGTGCCCTGCCTTTACCTGAGGCTCAGTTGGCAGAAATGTGGAAGAGGACCTTCTCCTTCCCTGTATTGAGGCATTGGAATCCCGAAGCCCAAGGAGATGTATTTAGCTTCCTGTTTTGGGTACCACATGCTAAGAAGGACATTACAAACTAGCAGTAGTGACTGGTACCTATTGAGACTGGTGGGGAGGAAGGCAGGAAGCCCCAACAGCAGGCAGAACCAGAGCCCAGAACCAATGACAGATGGAGCTCTAGATTTGTCCCCACCCCCTTCCTCCCTGCTAAGTTCTGTAAGGGGCAACACTAAGGCTAAAGAGGAGGCTGAGAGGCAATGCCACCTCCTGGGTTAGTTATAAGAAGACAGGCAGCTGGGGGCAGACAGAAGGAAGATTGTGGTTGGTGTGGCAGTGCCCCATTGGCCCTACTGGACCAGCCTGCTCTGCAAACTAGATCCTATTGGATGGTGCCTAGGAGATCCCCAACTGAACACAGAATCATAGAACAGCAGAGTTGGAAGGGACCACGAGGGTCATCTATTCCAACCCCTTGCAATGCAGGAACCTCTCACCCAACACGGGGCTTGAACCCAGGACCCTAAGATTAAGAGTCTCATGCTCTACCACCTGAGCTATGCCCAGGCTACATGCTGCTTGAAATGCCCAAGGGGAAAGAGGGAGAACTGTTTTTCAGTTTCCCTCCTCTCCTCATCTTTTCTACAGAGGCTCTGCACTCATTATGTTCCGTGTTTAAGCCGACTTAAAAAATCAAAAACCCCTTCCCACCCCAGTCCCTGATTAACTAAAGGCTTCCTGGTCTGTGTAGGAGAGAATCAAGATCAACTGTTTTGCTTCCCCAGCCTAAGTTGAAAAGCTGCTATTAAGGCTCTGGAGCTGCATTCACAAGCAAACAATGGAGCCGGAGAAAGACCGCCATTCAGAAAATAAAGCAAGGCTTTAAGATCAATTGATTTTTCTTTTTATTAGGCATGCATGAACTTCCTAATAAAAAAATTACATTGTGCTTAAAGAAGCACTTTCCCTAATCCACGGCTTATCCCCGAATCCTCATTTAATGCCTCTTAAGGTGTTGGGCAATCTCATAATTTCTTTCACCTCCAAGTTCATTTAGCCAAAGCCTCCCCATCTACACATGGTGCTCCTGGAATCCAGCGCAGTGCTCCTTGCACAAAATGCGGGGCTTTCTACAAGAGTCACTTCAGGGACTGGAAAGGCTTTGCTTCATTTTTTTAAACTTGTGGATTACAAAATGGCTGTTTTCCACGAACAGAACCTCCATCTTCAGAAGCAGTATACAGTCTGAATAGGGTTGCCAGGTGAGGAGCATCCCAGACAGTGAGGTTATAGGGCCTAAACCTGACACCTAGGGGTGGCCCCTGGTGATGCTATGGAGGCAGGCCCTGGAGATGGAGGTTAATAGGGAGAGGGGAGAGGAGGAGGGCAGAGTTCCTATGCAATAATTTGCAGGCAGTTCCTGCCTGGATGAAGCTTGCAAGCTGAATGCACTGTCTTCTTATTTTTAAATATTACTAAAGACACTTCTGCCCACCTGGAGAGTAAAGCTCTTCACCTGCCAACTGGAGGGGGTCAGGCAAACCTGGAGACTTCAGGTCTGACCTGGAGGTCTGGCAACCCTACCGTTGATTGATAGTTGCTGGAGAGAAATGACAGGGGAGAGCTGTTGCTTTCAAGCCCTGCTTGTCACCTCCCGACAGGCATCTGATTGTCACAACATGATGTTGGAGTAGGTAGCTTTTCCATCTGACTCACTGTAACCCCTTGCATCCGGCATGAGGAGTCTGTGGTCCTGCAGATGTTGTTGGACTCCAACTCCCATCAGCCCCAGCCAGTGTGAACAATGGCCAGGAATGGTGGGTGTTGGAGTCCAACCACCTCTAGAGCATTGCAGGTTCTTCTCCTCTTATGTACCTCACTTCTTATGTTCCCAAGCAACATACAGGTCTTACTGACAACTTGACTTAAGATACAGCTAGCTACAGTCGCTTATCGTTCCTTGGCTTTATTTATGGGTTATGTGACGCGTTTTTACAGCAGCTTTACTCCAAGAAGCTCAGGGTGGCCTATATGGCACTCCCTTTTATCCTCACAACAACCTTGTGTGGTAGGCTAGGCTGCAAGGTCACTCTTCATGACTTCTCATCCACATGTTGACTACCCCACTGACTCCATCCCCTGTTGGCCCCATAGGTGTGTCTTGCTGGGCCTGCCACCAACACTGTGTGCCCTGTTGTCAACAGCCCACTGGCCTTACCTTCTTTGGTACATCTGTAAATGGGTGTCTGCATGTGTGGGCTACCCCTTTGGTTGAACTATGGCTTTCATCATCTCTATCCATTGCCTAAGATGGTTGGGACTGATGGAGTTGTAGGATAGCAACATCTAAGGACTCAAGGCTGATGAACATTGGGCTTCTCTTTGCAGCTGGTGTGAAACATCTTATTCAACTACTAGCCATGTTGGTTGAGACTGATGGGAGTTGTAGTGTGACAGCATTTGGAAGGCCACCGGTTCTCCAACCCTTCTGTAGAGCATCAGCCTTTCCCGGTTATATTTTTAATACAGAGTTGAATCTTCAACAATATTTTAATTTGCAGGGAAATCTTTTTCCAGACTTTCTCTAGATCCCCCACCCACCCCAGTGTTGTACTGCTTCTCAATGTTTCACTGCTGGCATAAAGGGATTTGACAGCAAGCTGTGGATGGATGAAGACTGACTGTCAGCCGATGAGATAAAGAACAGAATGCTCATCTAGCAGTTAATAGAAGCACCAGTTGTTATGTAAGGAGGATCCTGATTGATTGGCAGCTGTGCCAGGTGAATGGTTATCTACTGCCTATTCAGGGCAGACCCTGTTAATCACCATGGTGTCAAAGGAACCTCTCAGATATTAATGAATTTATCTCTGCAGAACTCTAGGAGTAAAGAAAGCATTGCCCCATGCAAAGAAGTGGGACGCCAAGGCACACCAAAAGAAGACAAGAGCAAACTCTGAGGACAGTTGTAGCAGACCCAGAACTCTTCTCATGGAGGAATGCATCCATTGTGAGCATCACAGGGTGAGCAGTGGATTTGTTCATAGGTCAAAAACCAGGAATGGGATGTAGCTCAGAGTACATAGATGGTCATAGCTAAGCAGCAGAGAACTTGCTTTGCACTCAGAAGCTCCCAGGTTCAAATCCCTGCATCTCAGACACTGCCCTGCCAACCTCAGTCTACCCACAGGCAGCGCCTACCTTCCTGATTTCTTACAACCAGGCCAGGGGGAGGCAGTACCTGTCAGCTCCCTCTTTCTTCGTCTTAGTATTGCCCTTATAGAGCTCAGCATTTTGCTTGTCATTGGTTCTGCCTATCGGTAGGTCTGGCACCACCTAGTGTTGGCCTCCCTTCTTTCTGCCCTATCATCCCATGGGCACTAGCCACATGCAGAGGCCAGCTGGGCAACTTAAGGCCTTAGGTTACTTACCTTACATTGCACACACACTGGAGAATAGCACTGCATAGCATAGAATCCCGACCAGGCAATTATTGGATTGTTATAACCAGATCTAGCAGTCATTTATGCAGATTTTATATTGTAAGCAGCTTTGGGAGCCAATCTTGGCTAAGAAAACAAGTCAATAAATATATTTAATTGAACAAACACACACTTCCTGCATTGCAACATTCCACAAGGCATCCAGATGCAAAAGCAAAACAAAGCACTCCTCACCTTTCCTGTTTTCCCTTTCCTGGAAGGAATTATGTACTGAGTGGAGACTGGTCTGTTCTGGTGAATGGGGCCCTGCCCCACCAACCTCAGTCTTAGCCAGTCCCCTCTGCCTGCTGTCAGGAACCCCACAGTATTGTCAGGATTGTGTTTGGATTGGCAGGATCTGACGCAGGAGGAGGAAGTAATGGGAGGCAGGGAGATGGATGCTGAGAACCTCTGGGTTGGAGGATGGGTGATTTCCGCCTTTCTTCCCTGACTTCAACCACTTTGGAAGTGGCAGCAGGGATCTTGGCTGTCACCCCCTGACTTTCCTGCGGAGTGAAGAGCCTCAGCAGAGGCTCGGGAGGGCTTGGATCAGCCAATAGGGAAAGGCAAAACTGGAGGGTGTAACTACTGAACAGGAATCTGGGTGCCACCTTGTCACCCAGAACCAAGCACTTCCTTTGCTGATGGGAGCAGGCCCACCCACCCCATAGGAGCGCACATTTGCAATTCCGACATTCCAGCAAGGCAAGGAAGTCTCATCTTTCAGAGCTTGGTGGGCAGGGCGTGGAACCTTGTTGGGACATCTGTATTGTCTCTGTCCAGTTCTGAACATCTTGCCCTGCTCTTGAGCTGCTGAACCACGACTTCTGAGTCCAATGTTTGCAGCACAGCCTGCACCATTACTTGTCTGAAGAAATATGTTTTGCTTACTTACCAGTAAGAGACTTGGCTTGTGTGTTTTGGGGGAAGAACTGGGGCACCTGCCTCCTTATAGCTAGTCCAGGGGCGGCCCTGACTGCCAGCTCCATCCTCTTTAGCAGGGGTCGGCAAGGTTTACCTCGCCTGGGCCAGTTCACTCCAGCGGAGATCCCTCTGTGGACTAGATTGCGCCCGCACCTGCGATTTCTGGCATCTGCGCAGCCACGATTCCCGGCGTCTGCACATGCACAGATGCAATTTCAGGTGTCACGGAAGCGAGTCCGCACGCCACGCTCCACTGGTTTAGCGCAGCATGCAAGGACTCGCCGAGCGGGTGCCTCAGTTTGGGGGCGGCTCATGGGCCAGTTAAATGACCCTCTGTGGCCCATGGGCCTTGGGTTGCTGAGCCCTGCTCTTTAGTCTCAGGTGCTTAGTCTCAGTGCTGTTGTAGAACCTAGCAGAGAGGAAGATGGAGACAAAACTAGAACTGGTTGATTCTACCTGTCCTTGGCTCTGGCTCCACATAGAAGAAGAGTTTGGATTTGATATCCCGCTTTTATCACTACCCGAAGGAGTCTCAAAGCGGCTAACATTCTCCTTTCCCTTCCTCCCCCACAACAAACACTCTGTGAGGTGAGTGGGGCTGAGAGACCGCAAAGAAGTGTGACTAGCCCAAGGTCACCCACCAGCTTCATGTGGAGGAGTGGAGACGTGAACCCGGTTCACCAGATTACGAGTCTAGAAGAAGAGAAGAAGAGTTTGGATTTGATATCCCGCCTTTCACTCCCTTTAAGGAGTCTCAAAGCGGCTAACATTATCCTTTCCCTTCCTCCCTCACAACAAACACTCTGTGAGGTGAGTGGGCTGAGAGACTTCAGAGAAGTGTGACTGGCCCAAGGTCACCCAGCAGCTGCATGTGGAGGAGCGGAGACGCGAACCCGGTTCCCCAGATTACGAGTCTACTGCTCTTAACCACTACACCACACATACCCTTGGCCTCCTGCCCTACCAGCTCCCATGGGCACCAGCCATTGCTGCTTGTATTTGCTTTCACTAATTTACTCACGATGCTGCTTCTTGAAGTCTTCAGGCACTTCCAGAAAATATATGGCTTGCCTTAGCAATATTCTAGAATGTTATGTTACGTCGCTCTTTAATTTGAAATATTACGCTGCTTGCCTGGGAGAATTTTCTTGTCAATTTCAGAG